CAAGCCAAATCAAAGTGAGCATGTGCAAACGAAAAGAGGTCAACTAGCTACCACCATGATGAAGAAGACAAACGACCACCTGATGAAGTAAATGGCCACTGGAGCAACTGCAGTAATAACTTTAGGACGCTGGATGGCAGCAGATACCGAGACATCACAAGGTGATACGCTGGGGAGATATTATAAGAACTCCGGGGAAAGGGGGTTGAGCTCTCTGTGAATTGTCATGAATATGTATGTATAATTTGCGTAAAAGTTTAGTTTTTATCTTTCAGAGGTGCGCATGTTAGGCTGAGCGATCCCCTGTGAGTCCAGCACTGCAATAAAGAATACCTGCTTAACAGGAACTGTTTTTGCTGTTGAGTGAATTTCTCCGTTTCAGAACAGTATGATATATGTCAGTGCAGACAAACAGGGAGAAGCAAAGTATGAAGAGATAGTTTAGATAGATAGCAAACTATGCTGTGATTGATTTGGCTAATGCATTTTTTACTATCCCAATTGCAGAGGAACATTTGGATCAATGTGCCTTTACGCGACAGGGGCGGCAGTACACCTTTACCAGGCTGCCTCAGGGATGGGTGCATAGTCCAACTATTTGTCATCCAATAGTGGCCGAGCATCTGGATGAAGTAAAACTGCCTCCTCATATGCAAATAGCACATGATATAGATGACATCCTGATTCAGGGGAGCATTGAAGAGGAATTACAGCAGATACTCGAATTGGTTGTGGACCATGTGAAACAGAAAGGTTGGGAAATTAATCCTACTAAAATTCAGGGACCATCTCAAGTGGTAAATTTTTTAGGAATCCACAGGCACTGTGGACATGAGGAGATACTACTTAAAGCCCAACAGAAAATTCTGGACCTTGTGGTACCACAAAATAAGAAAGAGGCACAGAGATTCATCAGACTGTTCGGCTTTTGGAGACAACACATTCCACATTTAGGACAGATTTTGGCCCCATTGTATAAAGTGACCAGGAAAAAATATGAATTTGAATGGGGAAATGATCAGCAGTCTGCCTTTGAATTAGCAAAAGAGGCTATTCAAAGGGCTTGAGATGTATGGCCCATTCAAAAAGGAGAAGTGGAGTTGAATGTATCTCTAAATGGCTCCTATGCTAATTGGAGCCTCTGGCAAAAACGGTGAAAAGAAAAAGTCTCTTTAGGATGTTGGGGAAGAAAGTTGCTACAGTCAGGAAATAGCTATACTACCTTTTAGAAACAGCTGTTAGCCTGCTACTGGGCATCTGTGGAAACAGAAGAGCTCACAATAGGACATAAAGTGGCTCTTAAGCCCGATGATGCAGTGGGTTAAAAGTTCTCTGAAAACCCACTGAATTGGGTATGCTCAGGAATCAAGCATTGCAAAATGGAATTGGTACATTCAGGACATATCTAAGGTGGGAGCTGGTGGGGTTGCTGCCCCCATGAAGGATCAAGAGGTAAAGTGTGATCCTGTAGTTGAATAGGAATCCCCTGTGCGATGGGAAAAGACCTTGGATCAATAAGGCCTCTTAATTAAGGAACATGCATGGTTTATGGACATGTCAGCTAAATATATAGGAGGAAAGAGATTTTGGAAGGTGGTAGCCTATCACCCTCACTTGGAGAAGTTTTTAGAGACAATAGTAAAAGGGAGAAGTAGCCAATATGCTCGGTTATATACAGCATATATGGCTTTAAACCAAGAGGATTTGGGGGAGTGTCATCTTGTCCTGGTTCCGTGTAAAAAGGGGTTCAGGGCAGGACCCACACGGAACAGAACTATGTACTCGCCTCTCCCCCCCCTCGAGAGAGAGAGAGAGACACTTTTAAAAAAAAATGAAGTATATTGTTCAACAAGGAACAGAAAACGAAAAAGGGAGGTAAGGAAAATATTATATACAAAGATTAGGGGAATAATACAAAAGATAAAATATACAAAACCCTCAGAAATGGTTCCAG